TGATGCATCTAGCTCATTATGGCCTTCTTTCATCGTTGGCGATACCCTCAGGGTTGTTTTCCAGAACTTGCTGCTTGAGTCAAGTGAGGAAATTCTGCAATGCTCGGAGAGAGTTTGGAAATTCCTACTCCAGGTTTCTTGCTTCATCAGCGTATAGTTGAAATATTGATCTTTGCTTAGATATTGTCAAAATAATATTATCTTTAAGAAACTGATATAGAACTAAAGGATTGCACTTAAGCTTCATGTGTAGTGAAACTACCTGCTCACAGAATCTAACATATTCTAAAAGGAACTGAAACAGAAACTAAAGGACCACACTTTCGATAATTTGTTTTACTTATTTGTCTCCTTATAAATATTTCAAAATGATAAATTGTATATTATTGAAGTACCAATTTGTTGATGAATTTGTCAGAAGTCTCTTTATATGGCTATTATGTTGCTAAAATACTTGTTTGAATATTTTTCAGTATGGATTCTACTCCTGGTTAAGAATTATACCCTTCTTTATTAGTCATTTAATCAATAGCGAAGTTTCCTTCTTGATTCACTGCTAAAATACTCTTTAAATGCTGTCAGTGCCGAGTGGAGGACTTGGATAGTGCTGCAAAATTGTACTTTTCTTCTTGGATAGAGCTTGCAACTACTCCATATGGCTCACCGCTGGATGCTACAAAAATGTTCTGGCCCGCTTCCTTGCCTCGTAAAAGTCACTTTAAAGCTGCAGCTAAAATGAGAGCTGTGAATCTTGAACTTGATTATTACAAAGGCAAACTTTTAGAATCGACAGAAGGTACGTCATCAGAGAAAAATGGAGATGCTTCTACCAACCCTGGTAAGATAGTAGTAGGCGCTGATCTGGATATTTCAGTAACTTGTACAAGAGTAGTTACCGCAACAGCTTTGGGCATTATGGCTTCTAAGTTAAATGGGGCATCCTTACAATGTGTGGTTGATGCGTTACGAAAGGGATTCACTTCTCTATCTGGAGTCCAGCGTCAGGTATACTTCTTGAGTAAGGAACATAATCAATTGTGCATGTCCTTTTCATATTCTGGAACATGCTTGGGTAACGTGTTTATATTAATTGTTGAATATTTCAGGTGGCTTCTATGGTTCTTATATCTTGGTTCAAAGAATTAAAAGATCACTTGACGTCCGATGAAGTTGTTTCTGGTATCTCAAGTAACTTCAGAAACTGCTTACTAAATTTGTTAGCATGCACTAACCCTGCATTTCCTACAAAAGATTCACTTCTACCTTATGCTGAACTTTCAAGAACGTATACTAAAATGCGGAATGAAGCCAGCCAGTTGTATAACGCAACAGAGGCATCTGGCATGTGTAATGATATTTTGTCATCTATCAAAGTCGATTTTGAGAATTTGACTGCAGACGATGCAATCAATTTTGCGTCGCAACTTCTGTTTGTAAGTACCGAGGCATCTGGGCCAGAATCTAATGGAAGGAATCTATGTGAAGAGTTGGAGTCCTTGAAACAAAAGTTTTTGACAACTGCTGGATATCTAAAATGTGTTCAGGTACGTTTGAGATGCAGTATATAAGTGTATAATATATTCAGAGTTTATTTTAGTTCACTTTGCCCCTTTTTTTCTTTTTATTTGAAATCATAGGTCCTTTTTTATATCTTTATATTTTTTTTAAGTTTATAGAAGTTATGACATCTATTCTTGCTGTTTGTGGATAAGCTTTTCGGGTTGGCCTAATGTTTGCATCACTGAATATGGGTAATTCGCAGAATAATTTGCATCTTACAGTCTCGGCTTTATTGGCTGCTGCAATTGTTTGGATGTCAGAGCTTCCCTCAAAACTTAATCCAATTATTTTACCCTTGATGGCTTCTGTCAAAAGGGAACAGGTAACATAATCAAAAAATTATGTCGTGTTTAATTGTGGAAGCACCTAAATTCAGTCTTAATTTGGTGTTACATCATCTCTATAGGATGAAATACTGCAACATAAAGCTGCTGAAGGCCTGGCAGAGCTTATTCATCACTGTCTTGAACGCAAACCTGGTCCAAATGACAAATTAATTAAGAATCTTTGTACTTTGACATGTATGGATCCTCGTGAAACTCCTCAAGCTGGGGTCTTAAGTTCTGTTGAGGTAATTGAAGACCAAGATCTTTTGTTCTTTGGAAGTAGTAGCAGTAGACAAAAATCAAAGGCTAATATGCTTTCCCCTGGTGAAGACCGATCAAGGGTTGAGGGCTTCATTAGCAGACGTGGATCTGAACTTGCTTTGAAATATTTGTGTGGGAAGTTTGGTGGTTCATTGTTTGAGAAACTTCCAAAGATATGGCACTGTCTTGTGGAATTCCTTAAGCCTTGTACTATTGAAGGCCGGACAGCAGAAGATGAAAAACTGATAGATCAAGCTATTGAGTCTATCAATGATCCTCAGATTTTAATAAACAATATTCAGGTAAGAGCTTTGAACTTCTTTTTCTACAGTATCTTATGGCTGGTACACACTAAATCATTTGCTAAAGTTGCATATATTTGTACTCATTTAAAGAAATTAGTCAATTTTTGTTTTTGTGATGTAGTGGACATTGAGATAGGGATTAGGCCATTCTGTCGCACACTAGGAAATGTGCCAAAAACATAAAAATAACCTCCCTGCAAGTGGGAGGTTATTTTTATGCAGTCCAACTCAGGTGTTTTTAACATGCTGAAAGTTCTGTGTAGAATACTAATTGTTTCGAAGTATGACTCTGTCCACCTGCCCTTATCTAAACTTCTCTTTTGATCATCATATGCTGTTAATTTAAATCTTACTTTTATATATTTTAAATTCTTCCCACCAGTGGAAAGCAATTATTATTATGTGTTTTGTTTAGATGGTTTTTAAGCGTTAAAGAATTATAGGAGTTGGAGCAGAATGGTCAGTAAATCATAAACAGGGTTATTCCGGATGGCCAATTCCTAGATATCCATCACATTAAAGTCACTGGGACTAGCCTTTTGAGATGACATCCTGCGAAATAGGCTACTTGATAATAGTTTATTAGTCACGAGCAAATCATCTTGAAGTCAGCATTATATTCATGTGTGCTTTGGCTGATGGTTGAAAAACTCCATCTGTTCCTCCAAGTTTCATTTTAGCAAGTGCATTTAAGGAAAGTCCTCTTTGTGATTGATTTACAGTTCTAGAAGTTGCCCCCAAACTTGCTCTTAATGAGCGAAGAGAACCCTCAATATTTATTTATTTTTTTGGGAAGAATTAATTAAATATTTTTGTTCACTAGTATTTTTGGACCGACTAGAAGGGATGTTGCCTGCTATAGGGACAGTCTGAAGAAACTCGTGCTGTGAAATATGAGATTTGTATTATTGTATTCCTGGAACCTCTTAGAACTCACATAGAACTTTTCATTTTCATAGTTTGAAAATGGCTGTTCCTTGAATGGTTGTCTATAATCAAATGATTTTCCAATGCTTCTTTGACTTCAAAATTTTAATGCTTCTTGTTTTTCAACTCTTTTTGTCTTGAGGCAGGTAGTTCGTTCTATTGCTCCTTTACTGGATGAGACGCTGAGGCCAAAACTGCTCACTCTTCTACCATGCATTTTCAGATGTGTTCGCCATTCTCATATCGCTGTGAGATTATCTGCCTCCAGATGTGTCACAGCAATTGCCAAATCAATGACTTTGGATGTCATGGGTCCTATAATTGAGAATGCTGTTCCAATGCTAGGAGATACGACATCTGTGCATGGTAGACAAGGAGCTGGCATGCTTGTTAGTTTGCTTGTGCAGGGATTGGGATTGGAACTTGTCCCTTATGCTCCTTTATTAATTGTTCCTCTCCTGAAGTGCATGGGTGATTCTGATCATTCTGTGAGATTGAGTGTAACACATAGTTTTGCTGCCCTCGTACCTCTTCTTCCACTAGCTCGTGGCATCTCCCCACCTGTTGGCCTGACGGAACGTTTGTCTAGAAATAAAGAAGATGCACAGTTTTTGGAGCAACTGGTTGATAACTCCCAGATTGATGATTACAAACTCTCCTTTGAGTTAAAAGTGACTTTGAGAAGGTAATTGCCTATAGCAATATTAAATTTTTCCCTTTCAAAATGATTATTTATGATTGGCAAAATTCACTATCTGTTTCTTATAACCCCCCCCCCCCTCTTTCGTCGTGCCTCTTCAGTCGAGTGACTATTATCTAGCCCATTTGAGCACCTGTTTTGTGTGAAAATAGCCTCTGAGGCTTAATTTAATATATTGTTTTTGTTATTTTATGATTTAATTAAGCCCATATTTTGGCTCCTTTAAAATGAGATTTTGGGGGAAAATGTGTTTTGGAGTGGTAACTTTTTGGAGAATTTAAAAAATAAGGAAAAGTTGGGTTTACGTGTAACTTTATTATATGGGAGAATGTGTGGTTGAAAATTAGTTTTGGAAAAATGGGGCCCAAACAGGGGCTTAATACATGCAAGAGTAATTACAAATTTTGCTGGCCTTTGTTATAAAGTTTGTAAATATCATGGTGGAATGAAACACGTGGTAGAAGACATTTTTAACCAGGTATTCCTTACGTGCTAAATGATATTAAGTTGCATATTTGTGAATAGGTTTATCCTCTAGGGTTTAGTGGAATATCATATCATGAAATTTTTCTTCTTGCTAGGCACAGTCGGAAAAACATTCCAATTAAGGTAATATGAATCATAATGATCTTTGGTGCTGTAGGAGAATGATTTACGAGAATTATATTTTTTTGCACAGTTTTTTTAATGGAAGTAACTTATATATGAAAAATTTCCTGATGATTAAAAAGGGTATTTATTCAAGTTCCAAGAAATAGAACTCACACAGAATCTGTAGCAAGGTGCGGCCTTTGCCTGGTTGCACTAACACACTCCTCTCACACAGCTTAGTCAGTGGAAAAATCCGCTCTACTCGGGTTTTTATTTGTGTTATATACTTTCTATAAACATGAATTACAATTAAAGCTTGTTTGGGATGTTTTTAGAAACAATTTAAATTATAGATAGAAAGAAATGAGTGGTGGATTGGTGGGTCTTATGAAATGTGTGGATAAAGGTCATTGGACCATTTATAAACACTAGCATAGCATAAGCTTAATCAGTCTTATCAATCTAGGAAGATATCTTAGCTCTGTTTTCCAAGTAATCAGTGCTAGCGAGTTATATTTCCTCTATACATACTTCCGGCACTGCAGTCTTTTTACTTTTCTTTGTCAATGTTAAACTTTTGCTGCCACATCATGCAATAAACCATAATGGAGTAGTTGCTTTGTGACCTATTTTGGAACAAAATAGAATTAAGGATGGGGGAAAGGGATAAATCAACATTGATAGGAGGTGCTGTGGCGTCCAAGGTTTGCAATTGAGATAACTTATGATCTATCCTTGTTAAATGACATTTGCAATTGAGTTTCGATAATCTCCATCGAAGTCATTTCAACCAGTTAATTCCCTTTGTAATTATGATGCAATGTGTGGTATTGTGTAATTCTACATTTACTCCAATGTCTCCCTTTTTTTTGATTTATGATCTAATGCAGATTGATACCTTTGGTGTTTTCAGGTATCAACAGGAAGGCATAAACTGGCTAGCATTTTTAAAACGATTTAACCTTCATGGCATTTTATGTGATGATATGGGCCTAGGCAAAACCCTTCAATCATCAGCAATCATGGCATCTGATATAGCAGAGCATATTGCTGCAAATAATTCTAATGATCTTCCACCATCATTAATAGTGTGTCCATCAACACTTGTTGGGCACTGGGTGTATGAGATGGAGAAGTTTATTGATTCTTCTGTTTTAACAACGCTTCAATACATTGGTTCTGCTCAAGAGCGCTTGTCTCTTCAGCCACAATTTGACAAGCACAATGTTATTGTAGCATCATATGACGTGGTCCGCAAAGATATTGATTTTCTCAGCCATCTTTCCTGGAACTACTGCATCTTGGACGAGGGACATATTATAAAGAATTCGAAGTCCAAAGTTACAGTTGCAGTGAAACAACTGAAGGCTCAGCACCGTCTGATACTGAGTGGGACACCAATCCCCCCTCCCTCCCTCTCTCTCACACACAAATCCGTACATATGCATATGCACGCGAAAAATCTGTAGAATGTATTTTGTGACTATCTTTGTTGGACAAAGTAGAGCAATGTGTAAATTCTATTTCTACTCCCTGGTTTACGCGTTTATACATGCATATATCTTCATATAATACTCAGTTGACTTCATTTTACAGAGTTGTGTTTTGAATGTTCAGTACTTGAATACAAGAGAATCAACTGTGTAAAAAACTTATTATTATCTGATTGTCAGAAGTGATGAATAGTGTTTCCCTATCTTCACTGCTAGAACAGTTTTGAAGACAATTTGCACGAATGGAATTTGTCCCCTCGCTAACCACTTAACTTGCTAACAAGAAAAAGTCATGATTTCAAGTCCCGTTCCAACTCATTTGTAAAAATTGTGCATGTGCATGTGTTAGACCTTTAGGAAAAAATGAATTTGGCATACACGTGACTGGGCTTGTTGAATACAAAATGTGAAATAAATAAATTTGTTCGTCTCTAATAAATAAAGCTTTTAAATGAGATAGTTTAACAAACACCCTATGAAGTACATGTGTTCTTTTTTAAGTGTTAGATCAGGAATCTAATGACAAACCCGTTGTTCTTAATCAGTTTCAAGCTACTTATGGAAAACCGCTGCTAGCTGCTAGGGATCCTAAATGTTCAGCTAAGGATGCTGAAGCAGGTGCACTAGCCATGGAAGCTCTGCACAAGCAGGTGTGCAATTCTAGTTTCATTCTTTTATTTTTTATAAATCGACATTTGGTAGTAGTTCTTTATCCTTCTATTTCATTGGATTTTCTTCCGATAGGTTATGCCTTTCCTCTTACGACGAACAAAAGATGAAGTTCTGTCTGATTTACCAGAGAAGATCATTCAGGACAGATATTGTGACCTGAGCCCTGTACAGTTAAAGTTATATGAACAGTTTTCTGGTTCACATGTTAGACAAGAAATCTCCAGTATGGTTAAGGTAAATGAAGATAAAAGAGATGGACCCAAAGCATCTTCTCATGTTTTCCAGGTAAGTTGGAAAGTAATTGAGAATTATGACCAAGCCATCATATTTTGTTGGCTGATGACTGTTCTCTATGTTTCAGGCACTTCAGTACTTGTTAAAACTTTGTAGTCATCCGTTGCTTGTCCTCGGTGAAACAATCCCAGAGTCACTTTTACCTCTTCTGTCAGAACTCTTTCCTACTAGTTCCTGCATAGCTTCAGAACTCCATAAACTGCACCATTCGCCCAAACTTGTTGCCCTTCAGGAGATACTAGAAGAATGTGGAATAGGTGTCGAGGCATCAGGTGCTGAAGGACACATTAGTGTTGGGCAGCATCGAGTTCTCATATTTGCACAGCATAAGGTAACTTCTACTGCTGCTTTTTTTAATTGTTTCTTATTCTCTGTCAAGAGGGAATTCTATTCTGCTGCTATATGGATGTTTTTGTAATCAGTATAGTATGCTTTAGTCTGACATGTAACTGTGTCAATTTATGCAGGCCCTTTTGGACATTATTGAAAGAGATTTGTTTCACACCCATATGAAAAGGTGAGTTTTTCTTTCGTCTGTATGCTTTTCTTTATTTTATTGAGAAAAGGAAATAAATGTTGATCCCTCCTATCAATGTATTATTATAGTGTGAACACCTTCAAGCTGCATTTAGTTATCTTATGATATATTTCATCGTTGTTGTTGTCACAAAATAACCTAGTTACCTTCACTATAACTATTGTTTTCATCTTCCCTAGCTAGGAGGTGATGATATTGAAGTTCGCTGTAATTGTTGTAGACATTCTGCCCATGTAGAGGCTTCTCCATTTGTGTTGTGTTTTTCATTTAATGATATGTGAATATGCTTGAATTCAATCTTGTAAATTTTGTTGCTAAGAAATATCATGAAAGTCTTGTTTATTGACATCATGAGATTTTTCTGCTTTATTCTTATTTTGAAGCAGCGTCACATATTTGCGGTTGGATGGATCAGTTCAAACAGAAAAGCGCTTTGAAATAGTGAAAACCTTCAACTCAGACCCCACTATAGATGTTCTGCTGCTCACAACTCACGGTACAATTATTGAAGACAATATACATACATATATGTGTCTGTGCATGTGCGAGTGAGACCTATCTAACCACTTAAGCTTTTGGATAAGTGGTTCAACATGCCCTGCTTTCAAATATTGCCGCCACTCATTATATGGAATTGTGCACGTGTTAGGCTTTGATGGAAAAATAATGAACCTTGCCTGTATGTGAAGGGCGTGTTGAAGACAACATTTAAATGTACATATGGCCCTTCTAACAGCTTAAACTTTCAAATGTTTGAACAATGGCTTCTTATACGGTTCTGCTTTATGGGCTTTTCGTGAATGTATAAAAGTTCTTTAACTTAATTCTCATAATTCATAATCGCAGTTGGTGGGCTTGGTTTGAACCTGACATCAGCAGATACCCTGGTTTTTATGGAGCATGACTGGAATCCCATGCGAGATCACCAGGTATGGACTCCGTTTTCATGGCTTGATCCGAATATATTTAGGAACTTTTACCTGTAAATGGTAGTCTTGTTTAACACACGGAAATTAGAATGTAATATTTTGTTTTCACCTACCACTTTTGTCATGGATATTATGAATCAAATATCAAAATTGCTGACTTCCGGTCATTTTTCTAAACATCTCTCACTCCAAGTCATTTTACTTCATCATTACATCTTTGATTGATTATAAAGATGACTTCAAGGGTGCCTTTGACTGTATGTTTTACGTAAGAGGCGCTGTTCAAATGGTTAGAACCCCTTCTTTCTGTGGAACATATATATGATGAAATAGTCGCGAGAGAGAAGTTGCTTTCTTGTCTGAGATTTACTTTTTGAGGAAGGTGTTAGCCCCATGTTACTTCCATTCAATTGAATGACTGACTTGTGTTTCTGGCATACTTGCAGGCAATGGACAGAGCACACAGGTTAGGTCAGCGGAAAGTTGTCAACGTTCACCGTCTCATCATGAGGGGCACCTTGGAAGAAAAAGTGATGAGCCTCCAAAAGTTCAAAGTTTCGATTGCCAATGCCGTCATCAATGCAGATAATGCAAGTATGAATACAATGAATACAGACCAGTTACTGGATCTATTTACATCTGCAGAAGGCAAAAAGGTATTTTTTCAGTTCACCTTCCATTTGTCATTCGGTATTTTTACTTTTTACTTTTGCAACTTGATGATATCATAGACTATTACAGATTATGAACTACTTCATTTAATCCCCGTTACCTTTAGACATTTCCAGTGTACAAACATTGTGTATATATATGTTCTTCAGGGAACGAGAAAATCAATACGGTCAGATGAAAATTCTGAAGGCAATAAAAAATTACCGGGTGGTGGCAAGGGACTTAAGGCCATTCTTGGTGGACTAGAGGAGCTTTGGGATCAATCGCAGTACACTGAAGAATTTAATCTGAGCCAGTTTTTAGCAAAGCTAAATGGCTGAATCAAGCTTTGAATTTTATAAGCTCAAGAGAAGTTTTTGTCAGAGTATGCATACCATGTGGAAGAGATTAACTGCAGTAAGCTGCCCACAATGTACAAAAGTGTATATTCGTCACACCGCATCTCCAATTTTGGTGATTAGTGTAGTTGTCATTTCCCTTTATCTCTTCGTTTCTCCTTCTCTCTTCTTCTCTCTTTACGATCATTTTCGTACATGCATTATATGCAGGAGGCGATTTGTAGTTGGTTGAGAGTCAGCATGACTGGGCAGGTGAATCCACATGTAGCTTGCAAAGGGGATAGAACATGTACAGCTTTGAATATTGTAGATACATTCATATATTCCTGAATTGAATTTTTTGCTGTATATTTTCTTTGATGATTCTATGAAGATACTGACCCTTTTTTTTTTTCCACAAAAGAGGAGGTAAATTATGGGATGGCTGGGATGTAATGAAAAGTTTGTTAATTTTGAAAATTTCAAGTGGATGAATAAGAATTTTGAGAGAGTTTTTCATTTGTCTAGACAGTCATATATATGTTTTATATTCAATCTTGGACGCGATTGAACACTGTAACTAGAATAATTCTTTTTAATATCGTCGAGCACTATACAATTTACTTTACCAACTGAGATTCTTCAAAACGAAAAGTAGAAACAAAATTTACAGAAAAAGGTGTTGCAGCAAAGCCATCACCACATGATAGTGACACTGTGTTCGTCTCTCTTTTCTGATGGAACATGATACATTAGACAAATGGAAGCTAAAGAAAATGCTGAAAGGGTGAAAATTGAGAAAAAGGAAAATGATACTTGATTTACATCATATTTCCTCAAACATTTGAACTATTAGTTTTTGAAAAATGATCTAATGGGCATCGGTGCTTAATATATGTTAAGCACCGATGATATAAAACACTATTTAATTTGTGAATAAGTTAATGGTAGGTCCCATGTATGTAATGATTTACCAATTAAATTGTGTCATGTCATCGATACTTAACATAAGCTAAACACCGATGCTTAAAAGATCATTGTTGATTATTTAATAATGTGAATACAATCTATTCTACTTTACACACACTATTGAGTACAAAAAGTTTGCTAATTAATCATTAACATCTAAACATCTTGAAGCAAAATTTAGAGATCATGAATTTATCGTCCAAACCCACACAACAATTTGCTGCATTAAGTTGTCTCTTCAATCCTCACTCTTATTTATTTGAGTTGAAGTCGGAGGATTGGGAATTGATTAAGAATTTCTTTAATAGCTTGGGACATTGGTATCCTATTCTAGTACCAAAATTTATGCAGTACATGCCCGTTTGTCATAACTTTTGCTTTCACTATTGCTTTTTGTACAAGAACTTTGGAAAGAAATTACCGTAATTTTTGTTTGAAAACTACATATAAAATCACTTCCCATTTTGGAAGTGATTTTAGAGAAAGCTAAATTTAATCAATTTCCTCTAAAAGCTCTTTAACTACTAAAAGCACTTTAAGAAAATTAGCCAAAAGCTCATTTTGACTTTTCAAAAGCCATGCCAAATAAGCCCAAAAGCATTTTGTTATGACTTTGTTATTGGGTCGTAAAAAACTCGACAGACAAGTTTGACTATAAGTAATTTTTATTTATTAAACTTGAAAACGTGTAAATAACTTATTTTGACACTAAAACTCTAATTTTCTATTGGCCCTAGATACAAGGGCGGACCCACACCGTTCGAACTGTGGGGTCAAATTTTTTTTTCGAACAACGTATCATGAACAAAAAGGAAAAATCGGTTGTTTGCTTTTTATGTTCGATATTTGCACTTTGGAAAGAAATCAATGGATTATATAATATATTTATGGACTAAAGAATGTATATGGGCCATGTGATATCCAGAAAACTGTGGGGTCATTTGACCCCACATGACCCCATGTGGGTCCGCCCTTGCCTAGATATATAACCAAGTTTTCCATCTATATGTTTTCTTTTTCAAACCATTCCATTAACAAGTCAAAATTACATATGCTAAGAAATAAAACCGTACTTCTATATAGTAGCTCTAGTTTTAACTGTACATTCTTGGAGCATGTTCGGCTTTGCCTAAAAGCACAAGAGAATGGCCATACAAAAGACGGAAATTAGTCATTTCTTTGGCTTTTAAACGAAGCCAAACGTGCTAATCTTTTTAATTGCTTATTATTTGCTACTTTTTGATCTATTCATTTCTCCTTGATACCCAGTTCAGTTTTTTTTAACTTAGTTATTGCTGTCTCTTTTGCAGATAAAAGGACAGGATATAGATGCCTAAGAGAAGGCCAAAGGAGGATATCCTCAATTAAGTCCATCATTGAAAGATAGAGTAGTTGGGTACTATGATTCTCCCTATTGCTTTTCTATGGTACTTCATTTTGTAGTTGTTTAGAACATAGAAGGCATCAATTGATCTTTTAGAATGCAATAATTGGAAGATTTGGAGGGTATCATACTAGTGGTACTAAAAAAACGACCGGGAGTGTCCGACCGGAGGATAGAGTTCTGATGTCGACAGAAGGGCATTTCATAAATGGTGTCCTCAACGTCAAAAGTTTATTGTTACTTTCTGCTTCCAGAGACTTTTAGGAAGCAGATTACTGATGGGCCGTTTTTTCTTAACTTCAAATCAATAGAAAGACTCATTCTCCAAGTGAGCCTGTTATCATACTAGTGGTACTAAAAAAACGACCGGGAGGGTCCGACCGGAGGATAGAGTTCTGATGTCGACTGAAGGGCATTTCAGAAATGGTGTCCTTAACGTCAAAAGTTTATTGTTACCTTCTGCTCCCAGAGATCTTTAGGAAGCACATTACTGATGGGCCGTATAAGATATGATAAAGTTTTCATCCAATTTTTTCTTACACATCATTTTCATTGACAGCTTATGTACCATTTTGATGTACAAGTAGCAAAATTCATAATAAAATAAAACATCTTTTGCCAAGAATTTTTCTTGACAAAACATAGGTAGAATTTTGTTCCGTGACACACAAATTAAAGGGGTTACTTTTCTTGTTCCATACAAGGTTTCTACTCGTGCACATGATAAATAAGATTTGAACACGAACCCGAGAAGGACGATTCAAAAATGCTTCTTTTTTGTAGTGCGAAATCTGATAGCAGTTAATCTCAGATCCACCGTCTGCGGCGGTTTCCTGAGCCATGGGCGCCCTGAAACCAACGTTCCCAGCTAACCTCGGTTGGACCTCTGGTCCTGCAGAAAATTAACCCCCATGATCACATTTTAGTTCATATTCATCGTACTCAAACTTGTTGTCTACTACATGAAACTGAAAACAGATGTCAAGAAGAATTCTTACGCCGGAAGCAGGGCGTCTGGAACAGACTCTACGCTCAAGATCAGCCTGTTGGTATGCATAGCAAAGAGCATAATCAGTGACTAAACTACCATCATATGCTTGTCATTTTCTCGACTTCATACGCTATCAATTCGAAACAAACTATGTCGAATTTAATGTATTCAAAGATTTCAAAGAACTTGTCCACTAGCAAATTAACATATCGTCTTAGTTTTGATCAACCTCAGTCCCTTCTTATCGATTCACTATTACGAAACAAGATTTCAATTAAAACCAAGCAACTCAATAACTTTTATTGCTATGAAAACAAGAATCAAGGGCTAAAACTTCACAAAATTACTAATCATGGATTTAATGTTAGCTATCACAATTTCTTGCAACTTGCATGAATAATTGTGTTAATTGTAGATTGTTTTTCCAATGAAATGAAATGAAGTATAATAAATCAAACTGCTTTTTTCAAGCAAGTTTATAATGAAAACCAATAAATCCCAAATCACTAATACACCATATTAAACAAAAACCATTTGCAAAAATCTTATGCTATACATACTCTTCGCATACAGCAGAGGATCTACCAAGAGTTTCCAGTTGACCCAGCTCCTCCTGCAGAAATTCATGTCAAATTATTATGCGTATGTGAAAGACAGTGTATCAAAAATAAAGTGTGAAATTTGAGAAAATGACCTGAATTGATTGGATTTGCTGATTGAGAAAAGAAATGGCAGCAGACATTCTGTGTTTCCCCATGAGACCTGTGGTTGAATTTCCTGCAAAAGGAGAGGACCTGGTTTCGTGCACATTATTATTCGACACTGATCCTTCCAATGAAAGTGCCAAAGATGAAGACGAGGAGGAGGATGGGGCGTGTTGGTGTGGCGGCTCAGTCGCTTTTGGTGGCGCTGACTCCATGAGCCACCCACAAGTAGATGCAGAGAAATCTAGAAAAAATCAAAGGAGAGAAGAAGAAGACGAAGGAGGGAGGAGGACCAGAATTACTGAATTATTAAAGTGTTAAAATTTTATATTAAGAAAAAGGCCGCATGTGACTTGCTGTTTACTTTTTGAACACTCATCCTTTCGACTTTCAAGCGTAAGTTTCACTCTTGGTCCTCAATCTTTCTGTTTTGTAGCGATTTCATCCTCTTTAATTATTATTTCCTCCTCCCATCCCCAATCTTTTATTTATTCGTATCTATCATTCCTATTGATGAATTCCATCCGCTTTTCCCGTTAACGTTATGTAAAAAGCCTGTTTTACTCTCTAACGTAAATAAACTATAAAATTGTCATTTTACGTGGCATTAAGAAGAAAATGGATGAAAATTATCAATAGAGATTATATGTGGACAGACTTGTCCAACTGCTCTCACATTATCATCATAGTACGAATAATTTTTTAAAACTGTCAATATAATAGAATAGTATGATTAGGCTCACGGCTCAAAGCAAACTACAGCAACAAAGAGTTCTTTCGTGGAGCTCACCTCGACTATGAGACTTGTGGAATCTCTATTGACTCTTGGTTCCAAAGTATAAAAAGCTACCAATCTATGACCACAAACACCATGTGATTGTCGTTCCCACACAAAATCAATATTTATAAGAATTTGATTAGAATGGTTGGTTTAATAGAAAAAATTGAAAGTTGATTCATTTACAAAAATGTAGAAGTTTAAAAAGTAATACCCGTTAAAAGAGCTCTATTAATTCACTTTTTAGAAAGAACAAATAAAATTTAGTTAGTTTTTTTGGCCATTGAATCTATTGTTGTTCGTTTATTTTTGTGAATTAACTTCTAAAACGATATATTTTTAAAGAATGATACATACTTGTAGTGACCTACATTTCTATTTATTTGTACACTAAAACGTGCTAGGATCTATACGTAGGTCCTATTCGACAAGTACTTCAAGTGTGAACTTAACGAGTAAATTGTATCTCACATAACTCGTAAAAAGAGCATATTAGGGTTTACAAACGCAGTTCAAATTTAAGGGTAAATTTATACTCAAAATGATTTAATACAATTGAAATTAGAACGAACAACCCGTCTTGAAAACTCTTGTTGGAGACGGGATGACCTAGAAAGGACTACTTCCTTAGAAGGCCGATTCTTTGAAGAGTCACCCAATCGAGAAAAGTGACCACTGTGGATATTGATATCGAGAGGGTGGGTAATTCACATTGTTTGTGAACTACCGAAGTCCGTTTTGTAATAAGTTTTATCCCATATTTTAAAACTCATTTTATTCCTAATTCATTTTCAATTACATATTTTATGGATTTGATAAGTTTTATCAACTTTTCAATCATATATTTGATCAACTTCCATCACAATGTACTAAAAATCTAATTTTTTTCTAGTGGAAATTCAACCATCCCTAGTTTTTAAGTTCTTAATTCAAAGTTAAGAATTAAAGATTTTTTGTTCAAAAATCAGATGATAATACATTTTTTAAATATTAATACTAAACAAGTAAAATCAGAAAAAATCACAACCCCACTCAACAAACCCCTCACCCTTTTCTAATTCCAACCTTAAAATCTCTTCTCTCTCTCTCTCTCTCTCTCTCTCTCTCTCTCTCTCTCTCTCTCTCTCCATCGTCTATTCGGCGCCATTGAATAGCCATCATGAGTGGCAAACCCATCGCTGCCGAACGGCGCTCAAGTTCGCTGAACATAGCAACGATTGCGCGATGAATTGGTTATCGCTTTGCTCAGCGCTCTGAAATCGCCGAGTTCACGCGCCTCGCATAGCACTAGTGGCGATGGGTTCATCATTGCTTGAGTTGGCGATGGGTTCGTCTTTCCTGGTCATCGCTAAACGACGCTTTGAGCTTCGTTGTGCATGGCGAGAGCTCGTAGCGCCGCACATAGTGGCGATGGGTTCGTCATTTGCTGAGTGATTGTAGTGCTCAACCGATGTTTTTGTTATAGATTGTGAGGTGGCGATGTGGTAGTGCCATTTTAGTTTTTGTTTCTGTTTCTTTTGTGAGTTTCAGATTGTGAGGTTTTGTTGGCGGTTGTGGCGATGGTGTGATGGTAAGGTGGTTGTGGTGGTGTGATTTTGGTTGGCGATGGTGAAGACTACTGATGCGGATTGGGGGTCAGTCTTCTGAATGACTGGAATATTGGTTATTTTTTCCACAATGGCCTTTACTATTGAAAATACTATTTTACCCTTACTTTTTATTATTTACAAGATGTATCCTGTATCTTTTCTAAGTCTTTCAATATTTCTTCTCCTTTCGGGATTCATTAATCAGGACTTATGTCTATATTTTTCAATTTTTCAAACACCTTTAAATATTCTCTATATCTTGACAATCCTTTAAAGATTCTAGGCTGATTTTTCTTAATTATGTATCCTAGAACTATTCCTTCTGAAACTTCTTCTTGTATATCTTTGTGCTTAGTTATAATAACTTCTACTTTTTTATTTCTCTACTAGTTCTTACATAATCAAGTCTTATATTATGCTTACAATAATAATCTATATCTCTATATATTTTTTCAAGTTTTTCTTAACCAACAGAAAATATGTCTTCACACTTTTCAACGAATTTAAGTAAAAGCGAAATATCTTTATCATCTAAATATAATCTGGGATTATTATCATCATTAGAAGTGGATGTGGATGCTTGTGAATTGTTTATTAAAATTAATCAAAGCATAGGCATGTAAAAGAGAGTAAATAACTTATAGTAATCAAATAGAAATAAACAAGCTTTCCCTCCAATATGCTCTTATAGATGTTTTGCACGTATTTAATCAACTTTCTGAATCAAGTAAAAGTTTAAAATGTTTTTTGAAATCATTTGGGTCCACAACTGCTTCCGAAAAAAGGCTTTTCAATTAAGGTTGCATTTCTCATTCTAGAGAACTA